TTATAGTCAAAATGTGGTCAATTACATTTGTTGGTGTAACAACAATGACAACATCTCACAATGTGCCCTGAGGTTAAGCCTTGAGAAGATGTTATACTGTGTAACAATTTATTTCTAATCAACATAGGAGACCAAAGACAAGCATTTTTTTTAAATGAGTGTGTTTAAGAGTATCTTCTCCCATAATAAACAAGAACAATAATTGTATACATAATCTTTATAAACTTAATGTGTGTGGGATCACTCTCTGATTCTCCTGGGTGACACTTTTGAGCTATAATACTGCACTGCTCACTTCAGAGCTGTGCGATACTATGGCAGCACACTGTAAGGCACTTTCTATTGAATCTCACTTATTCAACTGGCTAGATGAATCCGATTGCTCCCTCCCTCAGCTTTCCACTGAGCTCTTGCTCACCTCCTTTTTCCTCTGTCTTTCTCTTTTACTCAGGTTAGCTATCTCTCCCTGTCCTTCTTGCTTTCTATCTGCAGTCACCGGTGCACAGCTCAAAGAGGTGGCTGATGGGAGTTCATTGGGTACAGTGTGTGTGTGTTTGTGTGTGTGCACAGAGCCAGTGCGTGAAAGTGTAGTTGTGCATGTGTGTTTGTCTCTCCGTGAGTGTGTGTGTGGCAACACAGCGATGTCACTGGGCTGTGTAATTGAAATGGAAATGAGCCAATCAGCGACTGCAGTGTTGTGCCACCTTACCCAGCATTCACTTCACTGTTGCAGCTCTCACAAACTCTCTGTTTGTGACTCTGTGTTTGCTTGGTCTCTGTGTATATGTGTGTGTGTGTGTGTGTGTGTTTGTGCTGACAATACTTGGACCTTCAGTTTCAGCCCTGAGGACCTGAGGAGGTGGTGTGAAAATGTAATCAGTTGGTAATAAAGATTATGTGCCGCTCTCTCACTCACACAAACATATGCAGCCACCCTCGGTGTCCAGTTGATTTCTCTGGCTTTGTGTTGTGACCACAGCTCCCTAGGACAGCTGTGGCATGACAAAGGCATGCAATTATCTCCATTTGACAATTAGCCTACCATCCAACTTTACTGCTGGAAGCAGGCCTCCGCTGCCACTCTCAGCTGCAACTCTTTACAAGAATGTAAAAGAGTGTTGCTCTCATGATGTTGCTATTAGTATGTCGTAAAAGAGGGAGTGATTGTGGTGGTTGGGTGGAGTGCGTACATGTGTATGGCATTGAGAGGAGGAGCGAAGGCAACTCAGCGTTAACTCCATCTGGACAATTTCTTATGTGATCTGTACCAGCTTTTAGCTTTCGTCCTAGGAACATTCATAGAAACAAACCATTTTGTAAGCACTTTTGAGTGTGCCACCATAAAATATATTTTTGTTTTCTTATAACATATCATAATTAAAACACCTAAAAAAGGGATCCTGCTTTAACATCAACTTTGATTGGCCTGTTGTGATGGTTGAACAATACTGCCCCCTTTAAATGAACACAGCAACAGATGGCGGGGCATCTGTATCAAAGCTCAACTGCCAGAAATGAAAGTTTAATATTTATTTTACATTTCATGACATAATAATGACAAATATAGTTTTGATTGGCCAATTTATGGCCAAGTTATAAATGTTATATTTATTTAACTATAAAAATAAATAAATGCTATTTTTAAGCAAACTCCAGACACAATATATCGCTGACAAATGAACAAAACAGCAAATATTGATGCAACTTTAATTTACATGTGTCCTTTGTGCCCACTGGATTAGTTGATCCTGCAGTCTCTTTGCAATTACTCTCTTCTATTGACTGCAGTGTTACTGAACTGTCTCTTCTGCTAAAATGTCACTCTTTAAGATTCTCACAGAGTACAGCCTTGATTTACATTCCATTGGTGAAACCTCTTGGTACTCCTGTGTCCTTTACAGAGGCTGATATATGTTTGAACAACACATGTCCATTCCCAGTGAGGAAAGGCCTCCTCTTCCTCCCAAAAAGTGGGGAATGTTTATAGAACAGCAGCAGCCGATTAAAGCTGCCATCGCTATAAACAAGACACCAGCCGCATCTAAAACTCCCACATTAGTCCCTTGATAACCTGGTTTTATAAGGACAACAAACACAGCTTGTTACAAAATACAGGACGTTTTCAGGAGGACTTTTTGGTGATAATCCGGCACTGAAAGGATGTGGAGAAAAGTGTACATCTTTAACTGCAAACACATTTATGTCATACACACAGTGAAAGTAAATATTTTTTTAATGATAAATGCCTCTTTGAATAACTCCTGTAGATACTTGGATCCACTGGGAACCTGGCAATACTATCTGCATTATTCAGTCCTGTTGCCTCTTTTTGTATTCCCTCACCTTCTTTTGGAACCAGGTCCCTTTCTCTCTCTCTCCCTCCCTGTCTGTTTCTCACCCTCACGCTCTTTCTCACTCGGTGCCATTAGCAGCTTTTGGCTGTCTCACTGCTGTTCATGTGCCAATGTGCCAGGGAGCTCACTGAGCTGATAACACAGACCTAATGTATGTACGTGGGTGTGTGTATGTGTGCATGTGGAAGTGTGTGCTAGTTGTGTGTTTGTTGCATGTGTGTGTGTGTGTGTGTGTGTGTGTGTGTGTGTGTGTGTGTGTGTGTGTGTGTGTGTGTGTGTGTGTGTGTGTGTGTGTGTGTGTGTGTGTGTGTGACAGTGAGTGTGTCACATGTTACAAATGCCTGTCCTGTCCCTTTTATGTGCTCACTCACCCAAACATCCTCTGCTTCATTTGCAGTCAGGGCCACGAGCCACTATTCTGACTGCTGAGGCAGGGAGAGAAGGGCAGCTGAAACATCTCACACACGCACACACACACACACACACACACACACACACACACACACACACACACACACACACACACACACACACACACACACACACACACACACACACACACACACACACACACACACACACACACACACACACACACACACACACACACACACTGCGTGAGCGGATGGGAGGATGTGACCATTAAGTCAGTGACATTTTAAAGCAGGGAGATGCATGGCTCTTCCTGGACCTCCACAGACATGTTTTAAATGAGATGTTACAGATGAGCTGCTCCCTGCCTTGCTTGTAAACACTCTCACATTGGTATTTACCCTACACGGGTAAACACAGAAAGGCTACATTTCATGCTAGCTTATGGTCACATACACAAACATGCACATAAATAAATACAGAAGAGCAGAACGGGCAGACACACATGATCACATAAATGAGAAATGGCTGTGATTCCATTTCTCGCATGATTGTTACATTAATCATCCCAAATAACAGAAAGAAATAAGTGACAAGTGAAGGCGCCTAAAGCAGATTCTGCACAAATTGCTATTTGATCTTCCAAACAAGTGGTCTGGTTTGCATTGTGATCATAATCATGTGGGTATAGATGTACTGCAGATGCAAGTAAAGGCAGTGTTTTTGGTTTACATAAAGCGATTTAGAAAATGAATTCTACAGAACCAGAAGTCAAACATCACATTGAGCTAAGAAGAACTAGCTATAGTTTTGAATAGAGAAAGCAAATAAATATACTATACTATACAATTTGTACAGCTTACTACACCCACCATACTGTCATTGTCAGAAAGAAAAACAATGTAGGAAACCTCAGGAAGATGGAGAAATAATAGATGAGGGATCTTTTTTCCAGAATGTACAGTCATACAATACATGCCGTGTGTAACAAATAGATCAACATTGTAAAATTACAGTATGGTGAATTAGGATGATAACATTAAAGATAAAAACTGTCAAATAACTTCCTGGTGCCACCAAACAGATTTGACCTGAGACCCACAACCTTCTCGCCACCATAGAGATGTGGAAAAAAGGACAACACAATCACACAAAGAATGGATGGCAAGAGAAAGAGGTCACACTTCTGCGTGTGTACTGCTTTAGTTAATCCTGAGGCCCGAGAGTCTTCAGGATAAAATACTTTTAGCCTGTTATACGCTCTGCCCCTTGTGTGGAGCTTTAAGAGCCCTTCTTATAGACTTCAGTGGCACTTTTCAATTAAAAGTTTTGTCAAAACTCTTGTCAGGTTGTGCTCTTACAGCACTTAAGACTGAGTCTCAATTATGAACCACACCACCTAGCCTCTGGGTGAAGCAGTGGCACCAGCTGTGTGTGTGTGTGCGTGCGTGTACTTTTTCAACTTTGTGAGTCACATCATCACCTTTTGGGGCACTTCAAGTGTGTGTGCTAAATTAAGGACATCTCTAGCAAGCTTACAGGTATTTAGTGCTTTTCTGTCAGGCCCCCTGTGACCCCATGGTTAGGGTCATACCATCCCAAACCCCACGAGAAACCTTTTTGTTAAACAGAGAGAATTGTGTGTGTGTGTGTGTGGCTAGATGCAACTTGTCACAGTGTGTGGCCTTCTGATGAATCTGCCTGTACGCATTGAAGCCCTCTGACCCTGTGTGGCCCGTTCTAGATCATTGCAGTTGTAAAGATGCCTCACCGCACAGCCCTCAGGGACAGCCAGGCTCTGTATTTTTCCTCTCCTGATATTTACTGTCTGGGCCGTCCTGTATCCCTGTGATCATTCTGACTTGCTGTCTGTTTAGTTTTTTTGTGGAAAAAGTACTAAAGAAAAAGTGTCTTTTTCTTTCAAGAGACGTTAAACTATTTTCTTGAAAGCATGTTTTTTCAGACATGGGTGCGTTGGGAACACAGATGTGTGTATGTGTGGGTAAATATATGTTGCAATGACTGATTTATAGATAAACCAACCCACACAAATGTATTGGAGCCAGAAGATGAGAGAGCTGAGGCTTGTAAATGTCCACACAGCAGAGAGATCAAACCTGCATTCTCTGCATATGTTCTGAATTTAAACAGCCTTTTATCTGTGATTATTGAAGCAATGTTGATGCATCAATACACAGACGTATTAGGATTATAAGATTTGTCTTAATAACAATAGATATACAAATTAACCTTTTCCTCCTTTTTAACCACCAGGTTCCATCGTGGAGACTACCACATCGACGTATGCATAAATGACTACCTGGATGTGTACTGCCCTCACTATGAAGACTCGGTGCCTGAAGAGCGGACAGAGCGCTACGTCCTCTACATGGTTAACTACGATGGCTACAGCACATGCGACCACACCGCCAAGGGCTTCAAACGCTGGGAGTGCAACAGGCCGCACTCCCCCAACGGGCCGCTTAAGTTCTCAGAGAAGTTCCAGCTCTTCACTCCGTTCTCCTTGGGCTTTGAGTTCAGACCGGGCAGAGAATACTACTACATATGTGAGTCTCCATCATGATGGCTTTTTGAATAGAATACTGTTTACACTGCGGGGTAACAAAGGGTAAACAACTAAATGTTTATTTAGGCTTTTCCTTTCATTCTCACCCTTCTGAGTACATTAACAATAGTATCATTGTCTGCAGTGATAATCTCAATCTTATTTTCATATTAGATGTTTAATTATGTTGTGCATGTTTCCAAAAGGTACACAAAACCCGACATGCATTAAAAGAAAAATATGAACCTAAAAAACTTAAATTGACATGAATTACAAACTCAGATGGCCCCTTTCTGACCTTGTGTTTTTCCTTTAATACAACAAAGCCTGAGAGATATAGTTACACGCTTTCCCTAACCCATGTTTTCACAACTTCACCACAGAGCTTTGAGAGTGGCATTACAGTGATCCTAGTAGGTGCTTTCATGCTGTGCTTTTCTCCAAGCTTTTCACTCGGCTCTCATCGCTCATGGAGAACTCGTCGCTAAAATGGCAATGGAATTCACGGGGGAGTTAAATTGAGACAGTTTGAAAGTTATACCTCACTTTCCCTGCTACACAATACTGTATCCCACAAAAAATACTGCCGTCCTTTCTGCATTATGTTGTGCTCTTATTCAACTTGCGTTAGATTTTAAGTTGTCTGCTTCTTGGCATAGAAACTGAGCCTAACGGAGTTCATCTGAAGTTAAAGCCCCTGGGAAATTAGGTTTTATCAAAGCTAGGTGATAGAGTGGAATGGAGTTGAGTTGTCCTCCCCTCACAGGCTATACGGAGGAGTTACTGTCAGTAGGTGCAGTTTCTGCCACTCGCTCAAAACATATTTGTCACACGGACACGCTGAAAATACAAAACAGGAAGCATGGTTATGTTCTCCTATCGGTGGCATGAGTGTTCATCATGCAGTGTAATGCATGTCTGCGTCTGTTGAAGGACTTTGTGGGCCAATGTATGAGAAAAACTATAAATTCCTTCTCAGAAGGGGTGTCAGTTTTGACAGTTAACGTCTTCCTGCTAAATGTTGCAGGTTGTGCTTCTTGTATGTGTTTATCTGTAAAGTTTGGCATGAGGTGTTAATGCAGCTCTAGGTGGCTGTCAAAGTCTTAGTGTTTTCTTCTTCTCTGAGACAGCGTTGAAAGAGTCGAGAGCGTTGCTGAGCCGAGCTCTACACACTGACGTCTGTTTTTTAAATTGGCACCTTTTTATGAAGCAGTTAACCTGACAGCCAGCCAACACTTCTGTCCTTTTCTCATTTCATGCGTTTCCCTGCCTTTTTCCCTCTCCCTCTTATTGCTTTGTTACACTTCAGGGTTAGAGACTGAGTAGAAAAACAAAAAGCTCCTCCCTAAAGTTTTTTACGTTTTTTCTGTGGTGAAAGGTGTTTTCTCCGTTAAGCTTGTCTACAAAACAAATAGCCTGAGATCTTCTTTCAAAGGCCTTTCAACTCTAGGTGTTTGGCCATTTGTCTGATAAAAATTACCCAGATTTCGTATTGACATACTAGAGATGAGGGAAAAATGGAAGTCTTGGAAGTTGTGAGCGTAGATTGGGGTTAGCGAAGGGTTATACAATTCATCCACTCCTTCAAGTCTGTATTTCTAACATATATTTTTTCCATTTCTGTTGAGAGATGCTTGTCCTAAGGGCTAGATTAAATTACACTGCGACCAACAGGGCTCCCATGGAACACATCCATTCTGCTGGTGCACGCCATATTGGTTTAGAGGCCCGCGGCTTCATTGGCTATTGAATGATTCTAGCGTATAGCCTCTCTGGCTACTGTTACGGATATTAAAGTCATCTACCATGAAGTGGTCTGACATGTGATTTCCCACTGCCAATGTGTCCGGCCTGGATGTCCATAAGTAGCATGAGAGATGCTGCTGATGGATTGGACAGTTTCTTTAGTGGACAGAATGTGGAAGTGAAGGAGGAAGATTGAGAGGGAGGTAGTTGCATTACTACACCTGCCAATTTATCTGCAACATCTGTTTCCATCACTACCATCATCATAATCATCATCATCATCATCTTCATCATCGGAAAGTCTTCCTCATGCCCCAGAAGTAGAAACATAAAAAACCTTCCAGCTTGCATCGGGGTTACATCATTTTAATTATCCTTTAATCTTACAAATGTAATAAATACAACGATCTGACTCAGCTACGAGTAAACATGTTGCAAAGTTCTGTCAAACCACGGAATTAGTTAAGTGAGTGTAAAGAAATTACTGTGATTTTCTCAGGGATTACAATATACTAGTACTATAAATATGAGAGAGGGAATCACTTGTATTTCTTTCTCGGAAAGCCAGAGTTCATTAGAAGCAGGTATTTTTTCAGGTATATTTTTATATTTCCCCAGTGTAATGTATGATTACATGCACAGTGGACCTGTAGTTGCATGGATTCATCCACTCTAAGAATAACTCTTATCTCATAATCGTATTACATTATGGTAAAATCGCCCCAAGAACAATTTTTATATTCATCAGCTTAATAAGTTCCTTTTTACTTTGATGTTAAAAACTAAGTTTCTCAACATTGCTTGTATACAGTAGAAACATAACCACTTATACAGGCTTTTAAAAGTATTCATACCACTTTCAATTTGAATTTAAATGAAAACATGTTAAGTTTAATACTTTTTAGGACCTACAAGGGGAATCAAATGTATTTTATGGCTTGCTTGCATGCACAACCTGAATTTACCCATGTTTGTTACCCAGGTATCATTACATATTCATCTTATCAGCTTCCACTGGCATAGAAATGTTCAAGGCTAAATGTCTAAATAATGAATCTCCAACAGTAATTAGTGGGTTATTACTTTCATTATTGAATGTTTATGAAACACATTACTTTCTATTGACATAAGGTCTCTTATAAGTTACATTTCAAAATACATCACACCACAAACAGAGCCTATGACTAGCTTCAACAAAGACTTTCTCTTTAAAACGTACAATGTTAAGTGCAGCTCAGCACAACACACAGTGGTCAGTATTTGCCCTTGAAGCCCGTTTGCCTACATTGTGTGAATGCAAAGTGTTGCGTAGCTAACAGGGGAAAATGTTATGCATCATTACCCGCTGAATCTGGCTATACTTTACACCTGCACTAAACAGAAATGTCAAAGTGTCCCGAGGCAGAGGCCACTATCCATGAGCACATAAGGCAGAGGTTAGCAATAGTTAACTTCCAACGGCCCCATCCACTTGAGACATAACAGTATATCATCTAGGGAAATACATTAAATGCATTTTCTCTTTGGTTTCATAGTACTGCAGTGGAAGGATAGTCCTAATGAAGAAAGAATAGTTATTCATAATCAATATTTCACTGATTCCACTCAAGTATCCATTCAGATTAACCATGTTTACTACACACAGCATATATATGTATATATATATGTGTATATAAACTGTATACTGTACATAAAGGAACAGGGCTCATATACACAGTCATAATATTAATATTTTCCTCATTTCAAATAACTTTCTGTAGCCAAATAACCTGAGGGAATGGGGGATGAAAAATCCGCCCGCAGTGACGTGATTGATTAGCGTTCTTGTTTGTAGATGAAAATTAAGCTGTCAAATCATATTCCTGCTGTGAAAATTCCCGTTAATGGTGTTTTCGCCCTATGAGTTCGATGCGGGTCGAGGGTTGATTTGTTGTATCTCTGATAAGATTATAGAGAGGAAACAGGGTTCTGCTGTCATCTGCTTCAACAACAAAAACAGCTTAATCAACGGCAGCAGGACGGAGGGAATTTACTCGAATGGAGGTCATAATTCTTCATTTCTGTTAGTGTCAGCCTCTCCTCTCTGGCAGGTAATTGAAGACAAGCTGGAGTCAGTCAGGAGCCTGATCTTTGTGGAGACAACACTCAGCTGTGTTTTTGTTCTGCTATCCAAAACAACACATGACAGAGAGCAAAATACCTATCATAGAAATATATTAAACATGTCAAATGTACCAGACTTAGGAAGATACAGGGGGTAATGTAATGATGGCCGCTATGCAACAATTTAGCAAAATACAGTATTACTGTATAAATGAGTTACAGCCTCTGTGACTGACACAAGGGGTAAGCAGACAGTAACAGCACTTCTTGGGTCAGAGATCACAGTGCATTCATGGCTTAAGTGAAACCCATCTCGCAGAATGCTGATGCACGCACGTTGGTCTAATATGAACACAATCCACAATCTCCTATTTGAGTGATTTTAATCTGAAAAGGGCAGCAATCCAATATCAGTTGCAGCACACTGCAAGAGATGAGTGAGCCGAGTTATGGTGTTTTAGGCGTGTAAGATGGGTGGCAGATAGGAAAGCACTTGATGCGATCATGCAGTGGCAGATTGTAGGCAGAACAAATGTCGTTTTCTTGTGGTTTGACTCATTCGCCTTCAAGGACTGGTGCTGCTTCTCATCCAAAGTACCATAAACAAAAATGTTGCGTCTTAAATGTGGATCCATTTATTTATAAAGATATTTATTTGGATGTAAAATACGGATATTTTAGAAACCTTTAGAGAGCTTAAGGGAGCCTGTGGCTGATATCAAATGAACATTTGTTTAATGGTAAAACACAAAATCCAGAGGTGGGCGATGATTCTATCCGTGTTAAATTATAAAGACAAAAATATTTGGTGAGGTTTCAATCACTCTGTAGATGCCCATAGGCCAATATGCAAAATGCAACAGAAGACTAGGGTTGATCATAAATACCCAGGCAAGAAACACCTTCTTATATCCAAAAGGCTTTTTCAAAAAACCTCACTTCAACTTTACTGGACTGCTACTTGCACACCGAGAGCTCAAACAGATTCTCTGTGACATAGCTGTCAACTGATAGTTCGTAAATCCTGTGAAACGCCGTTCTCCTTCAAAAGTAGAAAGGAGTACAGATCGTGTAGCAGGCGGTAGCAGGAGCAGGAAAAGCTTTAATGGATAAATGAAATAAAGGCAGGGGACGGTGTATTCACTCTGTGTT